CAGACCAGATCTGTTTCCCCGCATGGTGTTTCGTCATGAGCAACGAGTAGACCTACAACCATCGGATGGTCTGCCCAGTCCTACCGTGTCGATCAAAGCTTAACAGCCAATAGCTGAGGTGCACCCTCCCGACATCCCAATTGGAGCTTGATGCAGTAGCAGCTTGACACTCGGCCCAAGTCCGACTCCGCATCAACCCCAGATTCCACCCCGACCTGGTGCCCCCACGCCCCCAGATGTAGTCCACCCCACGTCCAGCTGGTCAAGCAGATTTCAGTACTACCCTTGCATGCAGTAAGCAAACATCCTAGGTGAGTGGCGAGACTACCCGCAGGAATATCAAAACAAGAGGCTAGAACTGTGGGCGGGACAAGAATGGCGTGGTCACCATCAGGTCCACTGGACAGGTATTTCCAATCCTTGATTAAGCCTTAGTAGTTGATGGACGCTAAGACAGGTGTACTTACAGAAAGGAGACCTATATGACACCACTTAAGAGGCCATCGCTGGGGTCTTCTTGAGAATCGGCCTCGCACTTTCCCCGATCGACAACTCCGAGGTTTAACCGTGTAAATCAGCAGCTGCGCCAATTGGTAGCCTTGTATTTCCCTCGCCACATTGACTCCGTCCGGATATTTCTCCTTAACTGGCCATATTTGATGGAGGTGCACCCTCTATTATCTTAGTCTATTGTGGTGTTTGGGGCAACAGTAGGTTATAGGATGAGCAATTCCAAAGGCAAAATCTGAGGGATTGTACAATTGTCACACATGTATTCTGGCAATATATACATGATAATAGACCCTGGATTGCGGGTTTGCTCTTCAACCCATTATCTCGTCTATCATTACGCACCAGGAGCCCAACGCATCCATAGCATGTAAGCAGCTGCAGAATCATGCACCGACGAGGAATAATTGCACAAAAATTGTCAGGGTGCAGCTACCAAGGCGATCATGTGGTCTGGCCTGCCCCTAGTGTAGGACATTCCCATCACACCATTTCCTTTAACCACTCCTACACGCGGGAAGTCTAGTACTCCAGATCATACGCCAAAGTATCCTCACACAATTGCTCGCGCTTTTCATGCAACCTGATAGACCGTTAGCTACCATTCATTTGCAGACCGAGGTTCCCACAGCTACAGGCAGACTGACTCGAGGTGAGCTGGGTGAGTTGCATAGACCTGCAGATCTGACGGCTTCTCCAGAATAGCCACCAAGCCCATATTGTAGCCCTTTGCGCGGGACGCAGTCATCGCCAACGGGGGGTTGGCATGGAACTCCAGCAGTCCTGGCAGCATGTCACGTATCAGTATCCCAGTTGCCTTCACAATCTTGAAGGTAAGTACTGACCTGGAATCTTGCCAACCATGGCTTTACCCAGGCGGGCCCAGGCCTCGAGCTCGCTAGCCGGGACACCTGGCTTCAAGCGGAAGAGGACTGGCCGACATGTTAGGTTCCTGCGTAGCGATTCGAGATGGATGAGGGCGGAGAGACGCACCGACGTGGAAGACAGGCATATCTACAATTGTTTGGCGATTTTAGTGGTGATGTGGATGTGGCGGGATATGCGGGTTGATGCAGGAAGGGAAATAGTTACTAGTCATGAGTCAGAATGAGGGGAAATGATGTGGCGGGGTAATGATTAGCCTAAGGAATCGGCCGGCAGCTTACAGATCACATGATAGCCTGGGCTGAGGGTCGATTTTCTGCTCAAATGTGTGTTTTGGATTTGTGTCTAGTTTGTACTATAATACTGATCCGCTCTTTATTTACAGGTTTATACTATCCATCAGCATTGGGGTTAAGCGACCGAGTGCTCCGATCCGTGGAAGGATACTATCAACCGAGGGTCTGTCCTTGACCGAAACTGATCGAGCCGTAGTCCGCAGATGTTATCTTGACTTGCTGAAAGCGGAAGGGAGGGTAATAGAGGCCACACTACAAGAATAGACCGTCTGTGGCTGTCCCGATGTGAATCACGAATAGTGATCGCGTACCAAATAGGGTTAGTGGAATCATGGGTTTAGTGGCAGCAGCCCGACAGTGTAGTCCTGCCCTCGAAGCAATAGCCGGAATGGATCGGAGAATGCAGTCTTTATACCTCTAGAACTCTCTAGTCGAGACGCGATCGTGAAGTCAGTGCAGTATATTTCAGAAACTATAAAGAGGAAGGGATTGGATATCATAATCAACTGTGCTGGAGTGAGCTCAGAGACACATGGCAAGGTAGAGCTAATATGAGAATCGAGTGCACCCATGCGCTTTTATTCAATAACTAGCTCACGAAGAAATCCTACAGGGCTGATCTATCTCATCAACTCTCTGTCAATACGATTGGGCCACATCATTTGATCAGAACTTACCTTCCGGAAAAGCTAAAAAGGTAGTAAATATGTGAGTATAAATCCCTTTTTGTTCATCTTTAAGCTCAGCACACTAATTTGCAGCTCATCTACCATCTACTGCTCGATGAGCTGGGCTGAAGGATCCGCCTTTGCGCCTATGCCCGCGTATAATATCAGCAAAGCTGTCCTCAACGCGCTGACTGTGCAATACGCACTGTCATATACAGATGAGGGCTTTACATTTATGGCAATTCATCCAGGGGTAAGTAAGCAGCGGTATGGATAGAAAGACCCGGTTCAATAACTGTCAACAGTGGCTACGGACGGACATGGGCGGCCAAGATGCTGATCTCTCGGTCGAGGAAGGGGCTACGGCTGTCTGGGAGATGGTCTCCTCCTGCACTCAAACACAAAATGGCCAATTCATGAACATTCACATTCCTGGATCTGAGAGTTATACTTGGGATATCATTCCCTGGTAAACAGGCATATAACAGACTTTTCTTTTGTTTCAATCAATGATGTTGTATATATCGCACTGGTGATGTTCCAACTCATCCATTTTCAATCATTAGAACCCAATACCATCAGACTACACGTCATCCGAGAAAACCTCTCCCAGTTTTACAAGCTCCTGCCAGCGGGGATCCCGTTTCACCTGGACCATTCCTTGAGGGGTTGCCACCTTGAACTCATCCAACGACTGTGTGCCAAATTCATAAGTGTTTTCGTCATGTACAAATGACACCAGGATTTTGATCCATTCGTTCATAAGCTCGCGCTCGGCGGCGGTTGGGTCGTGCATGATAGAGTAACTGAATGATCAATCAGACTGAGTCATGGCTTGCTAGATTTCATAAGCAAATAGTGGAAGGTACACTCACTTCCAAAATGGTTTGTCCATGGCGTGTGCGACGCAAAAAGATAGCGGTGCAACCGTTTCGGTGATAAAGGAGAGTCGATAAGCAATCTGATAACGCCAGATCCGGGTCAGGGGCACACCATGTGTAGCCAAGCAGTGAATCAGGTAGCGCGACGGAGCGCGCACCTGGCCGTCTGCTACAATAGTGCCAAACAAGGCTTTCCAGGCCGCTACAGGGCTGTCAGCAGCCGGTAGAGAATAATGAGCCAACACACGATCAACGATGCGAGGGGCGTAGTAGTTGGCCAGCTGATTCCGCAGAGAGACGAGACTGGCCTCGGGGCTGTTGTATGTGGCATAGAGAGTTTCCTCGTTCAACACTTCTCCGATAAGTAGGCGGAGGTCGCGCGCATGGAACCGGGCGGCCAGCTCACCGCTCCGGTGGTATGCGTTGAAGCCAGGCTGGATGAAGTCCCCATCCGTAACGGGACGGAAGGTATGATGCTGCAAAAAGCCCATTGCAGCCAAGAGGTCAGCGGCATCCACCTGGCGCAGCTGCTCTAGCTTTTCCTGTGGGCTCAATGTGGGATCCAGCTTGAAATACCGGCAAACCTCGTCGAACTGCGGCTGGGCCTCGGCCAGCGTCTTGGGCTGCCCGGGGATGGCATTCGAGTACATATATATGCGTCTAAAAAGCCGTCTTTCATTCGCATCGTGCTGGCAGTGGTACAGTAGCTGTGCGTGTACACCATACGCACCGGCGCTGCGACCACCAAGGGTGATGTTGTCTGGGTCGCCGCCAAATCGGTGGATGTGCGCATGTACCCACTCCAAGGCGATTCGTTGGTCCCAGAGGCCAAAATTACCAGCTCCAGCATCCCCATCCTCGTTTGCGGCCAGAAGCGTTTCTCCGGCCAAAAAGCCAAAGATGTTCAATCGGTAGCCAATTCCGACAACGATGGCCTGCAGCCCTGCCGTGGAAATAAGCTCCGTGGCATCCATTCCCGGCTCCTGCAGGGGATCACCCATGGCGAACCAGCCACCATGAAGCCAAAGCACCACCGGCCAGCGTTTTCCAGGCGGAGGCATGGTTACTGGAGTCCAGATATTGAGAAGCAAACAGTCCTCACTGTACACGTCGGGGCTAGAAGCTTTCTCGGCGCTGCTGGAAAAGCTGGCCTGCGGACAAACAGGACCGAACATAGTAGCATCCAAGGGAATTCCATCTGGACCGCTGTATGAGTAGTCTAATGGTAAAGGGCGTGGTTTCCGCCAGCGATACGCCCCGGTTGGAGGAAGAGCATAGGGGATGCGGGCATAACGACGGGCTTTGTTGTCAAATTGTAGGCCACGGATGCGACCTAGGTTGCCCAAGTCGATATCGTGTGGCGTGCGCTCGTAGGAAATGTGGTTTCCCATTACCAATCAAATAGGACAATAGCTAGAAATAAATATATCATGTATAGGCACCGGGGCCGCTGAAGAACAGTTCTCTCAGACGTTGGAAAAATGGATGAGTGCGGAAAAGGTACTAACATATATATTGGTCTACCAAATGAAGGCGGAGCAGTTCCGGCCGATGGCAGTCCTTACCAGTACTAGCATATCCTTACCAACTAATTACAGATGTTTGTATCTGCCTTCCAGTGTAGCAAATGGGGTTGGCTTTATAATGCCACAACAAGTTATGCCAATTTCCAGCAACCGCTGACCATGATAGACACATAGCCAACCCAAATGACCAACTTGTGACCAACGGCTCATATAACAAACAGACAACTCCGTTCACTACAAACTGTACACAAAGTGGATGTTCTCGTAGTCTGTCATGTCTGACTCTGCATTAAGGCGGCCCTGATGCGCCGACTCCTGGGTCGTCATAGCCATGGCGGCAATCAGGGAAGCACGACGTTTATTCTGCCAAACATCTAAATCCAATGTTTGCACCCATTATCCAGGAGTAACCAGACAGATGCATACAGTATGTGCGCCAGGCAATCATCAAAACAATCTCCAGTCCATACATAATTGAACACACTACGATTGCAGGAATGTATCGCGGCGCATCCTTGGCCTGGAAGACCTGGGCGCCAATGCAGTTACCTACACAGTAGGCAATGAATAGGACGGTGCCCGTAACCGACTTTTTCGTCCGCCCTGCCACGTTTGATGGCAAGAGAGTCCATATGAGAGGACCAGCTAGATTTCCCACACTGGTCATGAAGTACACACCCCAGCGCGCCCACAGCAGGCCCGAGGAGTGCGGGAGCAGAGCCAGGGCGAGCATACCGCAAAAGGCAGGGACAACCGAAACAATCATGATATAGACTGTCAACCTTACGTTAGTATATCAGGATGCTAAGAATGACAGGAGCAACGCACAGCGGAGATTAGGTTTCTTCAATGTTAGATAACCAGCGATCAAAAACCAGGCAATTGACAGCATCTGCTGTGGAATCTTACCCTTAACGATGGTCTCCAGGGCCGTAAAGCCGAACGAGACGTAGACGAGGTTTCCAAAGGCCGTTGTGCCGCCATTGGGAATTGAATTGACAATGACGAGGAAGAAGAAGAAGTAGGTCTGGGGGTCGCGGAAGGTGATGACCACCTGCTTCCAGTCCAGGGTGCGCTTCTGGGCATCCGAGCCAGTTTGACTGGCCACTACTCGTGCCGCAGCCATGCGCTTTTCTTCGACGGACAGCCAGCGTACCTCGCGTGGGGTACCGAGGAGTAGATAGGTAATGCCGCTGAGTACAATGGTCAACGCCCCTAAAAAGAAAGAGATTCCCTTCCAGGGAGCCATTCCATTGGGGTGTGTCTCAGCGCGGCGGCCAATAGCGTAGTTGACCAGGCTGGTCAATACATCCATCCCAGCGTTAGCGCTGCCCCAGATGACCGAGCGCATTGCATGTTCTTCTTTAGTATACCATGTGGCCGTGATTAGGAGAAGAGCTGGGTAGGTGGTGCATTCGGTGACGCCTTCAAGGAATCGCAGCACTGCTAGACCCGCAAAGTTGGTGGCGAAGGCGATGCACAGCACGATGATGCCTGTGGGGTTTCGTCAGTGGACCGTGCCCTCTCCAAATATTGTTGGACAGCCTTACCCCAGAAGAACATAGACACTGCCACGGTCGGGCCAACACTGACACGCTGCAATATATAATTACCGGGGGCCTCGCTGACCAGGAACGCCAGGTAAAAGATCGAGGTCAGCCAGGAGTACTGTTGGCTCACCAGATGGGTGTCCTGCTCCAGACCAAAGGTTGCCTGGGTCGAAATGGACGCCTTGTCGGCGTACTGCGTGCCAGAGATAATCCACATCAGCGGGAGAATGATCCAGTCCACCTTGCGCACCAGCCGGCGGTACTGGGCCGGTGTGTATTCGGCCTCACTGGCGTGGACCAGATCGGCCACCAGGCCAGCCTGCTTTTCATCTCCAACCGGCAGAGGGTCCGGCGACCTCTCGGCCAACGCTATCTCCATTTTCTCAGACGTCATGTATATGAACTGCTGAACCCGTCACTTGTGCTTTTGGTGTCGTGCTAGCTGCAGGCTGCCCGTATTTATCGGCCGCGTCTATCTCTGGCCATGAGATGATTTTCTGGTCTGTCCGCCACTTCGGATCTCGGGCCGTGGCCGATAAGAAAAGAAGAGACAAGCGTCGTCCAGCTTGACGATCCTCCTCGTTCTGTGCCTGTTATTTCTTGTTCATTTTCCTATCGTTCTTCGCTTCCTCCCTCTATTTGTCCATTTCACATTTATCTGTCTACTAACCGCCACAGATACCATGGCCCAATCCCAATTCACGAATGGCCTCCCCACAGCTGTTGACTTGGGCCACCATATCAATTCGAAATCCCGGGCCCGACACCCAAGCCCCTTGAAGGACATTATCCAGTTCATGGCCGTTGATGACATGGTCAGCTTGGCCGGAGGTATGTTAAATGCGGAGATGAATATTTCTAGCTTTGCGTCTCCATCGGACTGTATCTTCCCGAGTTCATTTCTCTGCTACTTGGTTTGCAGTAATTATGCACGGCCCATCCTTGTCCTTTCACCTTTTAGCTGTTTGAATATTTGAACCCTTTCCCTGCTTTGTCTGCAGTGGTTATTCTACGATTGAGCCAATAAGCACGCCAAAAACATAACTTTATAAACCCAAGGTTATTGTTGTGATGCTGTCAGGGCCAATGCTTTGAGTCGTTAGGGCGAATAGCAAGAAGATATACACCTTCTAACACATGATTTCAGGCCTTCCACATCCTTCCTTCTTTCCATTCAAGATAGCCACCGTGACAGCATCACCCCCAACAGCGGAGGAAAGACCCTGCTTGCTCGAACTACCCCTAGATGGCTTCTTGCAGTATGGGTCGGGAACAGGCAACGCACAACTGCGCGCCTGGTGCCGAGAGTTTACCCAGCGGGTGCATCGACCAGCCTATGCCGACTGGACCGTGTTACTTCACCCCGGAAATACCAACGCATGGAGTAAAGTGGTCAGCTTGTTGTGTGAGACAGACGACTACATATTGTGTGAGACTTACACCTATCCATCAGCACAGGCCTTCTGGATCCCTCTGGGCATCAAAGCGGCCCCGGTTGCTTCAGATGCAGAAGGCATGCGTGCTGATACTCTCGCTCAAACATTGCGCGATTGGGAAGATACTCACCCCGGCACCCGGCGGCCGCGTGTGCTGTATCTTGTCAGTGTCGGCTCTAACCCATCGGGCGTCACGATGAGTACAAAGCGACGACGAGATGTTTACGATGTGTGTATTGAATACGGTGCGCCATCCCACCTTCACTAATGGCTCGTCGACCTGCGCTGACAGTAGGGCAGATGTCATCATTGTGGAGGACGATCCGTACTTCTTCCTCCAGTACCCGGAATACAATGCCGCTGACTCGGTCACGGAAGGCCCAGAATTCGTCGGCAGCGATGAGTTCCTAAGGTCCTTGACACCGTCAATGCTCCAATTTGACCACCAGGGCCGTGTAATCCGGCTGGAGTCTTTTAGTAAAACGCTGGCACCAGGTCTGCGGCTCGGTTACTTTGTCGCAAATCCATTGTTTACCGAACGACTGCTGCGTGCGACCGAGGTTGAGACGCAGGACCCATCTGGCCTATCACAAGCACTTACCCTCCGCCTCTTGCAAAGCTGGGGTATCGACGGCTATCTTGGATGGCTGCAGGGGCTGGGCGTCGAGTACTGTCGCCGACGCGACTGGATGATAGACGCCTTTTCGCAGCATTTTCGCGTCGGTTACGCGGCGAAGGCAACCGGAACCCTTGTCGCCCATCTCGGCGACGTCCCTATTTTCTCCTTTGTACCACCCACAGGGGGTATGTTTATATGGGCATGCTTTAATCTGGCCCAGAACCCTGCCTTTGAGCAGCTACGGCATGATGAGAACGTGGTTGATCCGGAGCAGGTCATGGCCGACCAGCTTTGGCGGCAGTTCGCCGAGGCCAAGGTAAGTAGTTCACACGTCGTTTCGCTGAATATGCAGAGGACTCACTTATACCCTCTTACAGGTTCTCTTAACCCCGGGGCCATATTATCATCCCTGGCAGGGGCCGGACAAGGTTACAACAAATGCGCGCGGAGCTAAACCCTCGACGACCTACTTTCGGTTTTCCTTCTCCATGACGACGGTATATGCGAGCCCTGAAAAGACGGTCTGATTAAATAAGCTAACCATTGTGCAGCAAGTGGAGATGGAACGTGGTATTGCACGAATGGCTCAAGTGATACGGGCGTCATGGAAGCTGGAGCAGTAGGTTAGATCCGTCTTGGTAGGGTAGACGATACGATGTAGTCTGTCAATACTTAGTCCATCTTCTACTATCAATCTATACCATGAGCACCAAGTGTTCTACTTCTACACCGTCTTGTCAAACCCTATTTCACTATTTACCTCTGTAACATTCAGGTTAAAAAGGAAGGATTTCGGTCGGCCACTGCTTACACTTCTAGCCACGCATGTCCACCCAGCATATCCACACTTGCTTATCGCCGCACTATCTACGTCTTTATCAACAAATGACGAATCCAACAAGCCACCGGATGAGATCCGAGCGGAGTATGGGGTCTTCTTCCCCGACCGCTGACCTGACACCCTCCATATCTTAATTACTTCCGCTATGGATATCTCCAGGTACTCCTCCAGATTTACTACACACTCTGTTTATCCTGCAGTTCTCACCTTTGAATCAACACCCGTCCACCATGGCCAAGAAAGCCACTGTTTTCCGGATTACGGCCACGGTCAAGGATATCTGCGTTGACGCAGATGAATGGTTGACGATGGTGGGCGTTGGAGAGGTGCTCTCTCTGAACGCAGTCGAGGAAGCGACTTTGGTACGCAAAATTGACTGTCATATAATGCCTTTGATGTGTGTTGTGTATATGCTTTATTTTCTCGACAAGACAACACTCTCCTACGCCAGCAACATGGGTTTCAGACGGACCTTCGCCTCCATGGTGACGAATACGAGTGGCTAGGTAGTTTGCTCTATAACAGCTTTATCCCGCATTCCTTCATCACTACTTTCCCGTTAAAGAATTCAAATTGGTCCTACTGCTGCGTCACCTTCGCGGAGATAGATGCGTACAAAAATACGACAACATGCCAATTTACCCTTAGAGGCCACCAAAAGCCATATCTGTGTCAGTAGATGGAAAGGGATCCCAAAGTCCGTCGAGTACGGGCAAAGAGGGCAGATAAGAGCTCGCGTCCCCCCGGGGATGCTGCAAAAGACGCTCCAGAATTGCACGGCCACGGCTAGCGCAGGGCCAGACGCACTCCAACTCAATCAGAGATTGTAGGGCTTGATAGACGTCGGTCAGATGGTAAGATGGCTTTTCTGTCTGTGGGTCCTCCATAGTCCACAATAGAATGCCGGAGATGGTGAGATACTGCACGCAGAAGGCCAGGTGATGGGAGGGAGGCACCCGCTCGCGGATCAGCTCTGCAGCCTGAATGCAGCTCCGCGCCGCACTTATGCATTCGCTACTTGGATCGGTGGGGGTAGACAGAGATTGTCCGACCAGGGGCCTTGCGAGCAACATGGGTCAGTCAATTATATTCGAGACGATATACGACGGTTGCGAGGTCGAGTGGAGCGAACAAACATACCTATACAAGTTCATGATGGTAGCTGAGTGAAGAATGGAGACGATAAAGCACATGGTGAGACTGGGCCCTGTTTGGATC